CAAAATTGGGGTAATTCCAAACATTATCCAGAAACTACACAATGGAGATGACGCTTCAATGATCGCCCCCTACCGACAGACTCATGTCCACGTGCAGGCCGGTGCAGGGCCACCTTGTGCCACACAGGGGCAGCTGCCACTTGGGGGGGGGGGGTCCTTCGCTTGTTTGAGATGAGATTCGATACGAAACACTGAGTTGCCGAGGCAATTAGGCAAGCGATTTATGAGTGCAAATATGATGTTGGTAACGTAGTGAATGCTTGGGAGCTTCATTGTCTCTCGCTCCTGCTGACAGATGTACCCAGCCCACAGCTCCACAGATACCAGCCGCTCCTCCTGTGCAGGTTCAGCTACGTACAGTGCAAAAGAAGTTCCAGATACACACAGAGACTCACACAGAGACCAACAGATTAGCATGGTTCGCTACGTATGGTGCGAAATAAGTTCAACGTACACACAGAGACTCGGAGCAAGTTTGAGTCGCATGCAGTCGTGGGCCATGAAAGTTGAATTGGCGCATGTTGCTACTGACAGTAGTTGAATACGGTTGGAAAGACGCTGATAGAGACACACACAGAGACTGACAAGAGAAAGGTGGACAGACACAGACAAGAGGAAGACAGAAAGAAAGATACTGAGATGACAGAGACACAGTCAGCGAGAGAGAGACACAGAGGGGAACAGAGACACAGATGGACAGAGAGATGTTGAATCGAACAAACTTAACTCGCTCCATTGAAAGAGATTCCTCAATCTTTGCCCATACCCGGAAGTCGTTCCAGTTTCTATTTATTTCATTGTATGTGGTGTGTACGTGTAAGCAATGTGGGATATCAATGTAGACAGATATGAACAAGATCAGCAGACAAAACGTCTTTCATACTCTTTGGTTCTTTGAGTGAAGTCACGCAGGTAGAAAAAATAAAATAAATCACGACGTTTCTATCGCAACATGAGCGGTCGTCCTCAGGCGAAAACATCCAGACATTGTCGCGGCAGAAGTCACGTGAGCTACGGCACGTGGCAAAGATAAGGTGACCCCCCACCCCCGTGGCTCGCCCTGCTCAGCTGAGCATTGTTTTAATGTGGTGGGCTCACGCGAAATTAATTTCTGGAAGACGAAGGTACTTTCAAAACCCACTGGCTAAACTCTTTTATATAAGTGTTGTGTCCTTAACTAACCACACGTAGACGTCTGGTTGAGGCAACGCGTTTATTATAACTCTTTCGAACTCGGCTCTTCACACTACTGTAACACGAAGGAGTACGGCCCCTTCCACCCGATAGCCTCCGGGAGTGACAGCCTCCCTTCTATGGCAGCCTGCACACTCCGGGCTCTGCTACCCACAGGTCCCTTAGCCCGGCGTTAAAGGAAGACTGGACGACCCGTCCCAGACAGGGTACGGGAGCTCACCTCTGGTCCGCTACAACCCGGCTCTAACAAGAGCCTCGGTTGAGGGTCCCTGGGTGCTGGTCCAGTCTTCAGGTCTTCGGATGTCTTCAGGCTTGAGTTGGTGAACACTGCCCGGCCGGTCCAGGGGGCCGGGCTTTTAACCCCAGGTCGTGGTCACCCCTCCCCTCCTGAACCCACCCCCTCCCAGAACCTTCTGGAAGGTCTTATCTTAAGGGGCCTTAGGGACGGGTGGAGGGTCAGGTGTGGTAGTCTCCGGTCACGGGGAGGGGGGGCAGGGGTTTACTTTCATCGACCCCTACGCACCTCGCTCTCTCGGCTGCCCCCTGTTGACCCGTGAACGTGGTGGCAGGTCAGCTTACAGCGCCTTGTTGTGGCGCTTACGCACAACTTCGTGACTAACGCTGCACGTTCCGTCATATTCATGCAGGGGGCGCTGCAGACCTACGCGTCCCCTGCATGAACGACGGAGGCGCAGGGACAGACGTTCGATCGCATTGTAATCGATCTGCGGACGGCGGTCTTCTCGCACGGCCAGCTCTGTGTCGCCTCATCTGGATCCCGCGATCCCAACCAGGTGAAAGTCCGCATCGAACCAAACCCCCGGCAAGGCCATCTACTTAATAACGAGAGAAAATTCACACGAAATAAGTCTTCCAGATGTAAAATGAGATAAGCTTTTAATGAATACAATTATCTAATTAAAAAATAATAATTAATGACGAGAGAAAATTCATACCAAATGTCGTTTTCAAATAAGTGTTCCAGATGTAAAATGAGATAAGCTTTTAATGAAGAAATACAATTATCGAATTCAAAACATAATCAAATTAAAACTGTTTCATTTTAAAACTTCAAAACGGAGCATCAGGTGCTTGTGTGGAGGCGTCGTTCGTGTGCAGTTTTCTTTGTGACTTTCTTGGCCCCAGGCCGTAAATGGTTGTGAGGGGCGGCGCAGGCGGTCAGGCTTGCTTCAAGCCATGGTTGTGAACATCCAGACGTTAATCAGCAAGGAGCATTTCTAGACCTAGTTAGACAAAATCTACGTCAACACGTAATACTAAATTATAATTCGTGTTGTAGAGAATGTATCTCCTCTACGTGTAACTGATTAATAATTCGAGTGTGCTCCCTATTTCAAAGACAATGACTAGCTCCAGAGGGAGAAGCTTCCTGAAACATAAAATACCCTTTGACCTTCATCACAAGAACAATGAGTCTCACCTGAGTTATCTGTACAGGTTACTTCCAAAACACACACTTTGTCCTAACATCACTTATTCAATGTTTGACCCTTTTACACAAAATGTTACATGTATGCACACAATCATACAAGTATTAATTCTAAATTATTGACAGGCATATGAACAAAATTGAATTACAGGTGCACCCCAAGCCTGTTCCCACCCCCCCCCCCCCCCCCCGCTTGTGTATATGCAAGATGTGCTGTTTTGAGCTGCCACTCTCCTTTTGCTCCCCCCCCCTCCAACCTTATTTCCTATTTAAGCTTCTGTTCACCTCTCTCTCTCCTTGCCTCTCCGTCTTTCCTACTGACCATGTACCTCGTATTTTCACTCTGTCTATGCTGGTTTATGCAATCCAGAAGTTGAACACGAAATTTAACACTCCTGAAATTCATGGTCCGCCAGGAAGTGTCTGTGTTGTTGGCCTGACTGGTTATGCTTCACATGTTTTTTAGGTTTGTTAAATTCTCGTCTCTCATCTTTTTTACCTCCATGATTTGTTCTTGCCATGATTTGTCCTTGACAACTGATGAAGATCGCTTGTGTTGTGATCTAAACGTCGTGATTGTTTTGTTTTAATATAATTTTATTGTATTTCTACATACGTGACTTTACCGAAAAAACCAATGAGTAAGGTTACATCGCATTAGCAAGAAGCTATTTTTAAAAAATATGCACCGTCTGCTTAACAGTGTATGTACAACATGCTATTGCGCCAAAACGAGTTGGCCATTGCATGCTGGCGTCTGGGTCAAAATGTATCAAATTCTAAACATTACCTACAAACTACACAACCAAGATGCCACATCAACCATCACCCCCTACTGACAGGCTCTTGTCCAAATGCAGGCCAGTGCAGGGCCACCACCTTGTGCCACACAGGGGCATCTGCTATTTGGGGATGCTCTTCGAGTGTTTGAGACAAGATACGATACAAAACTCCGAATTGCCAGAGGCGATTAAGCAACCACCATATAATTGGAATAATTAGAACCTTGTGAATGCTTGGGAGCTTATTGACTCTCGCTCATGGTTAGAGATCTACCCAACCCACAGGTCCACAAAGACTGGCCGCTCTTACCCTGCAGGTTGAACCTAGGAATTGAGTGTTCAACTTCATTGTTGTCATTAAAGGCCTGTGACAAAGGTGCATCTATTGGAGCGACATCGTCTCAAGCTTACACATCTAACGGGTCTCCAATTGACTTTGTATTGTCTCGGAGGAAGTCCACCCACACCTCCACTTCCACAAACTGCTGAGAATTGCCTCGCTCTGCCTCGCAGTCAGAATTCTCCTCCTGCTTCACGTTTCCTCCATTAATGTGTCGGTCCGACTTTGGAGTTGAATCATCTTCACATTTTACCTTCACTTCTTCGCTCTTCACCATCACTTGTTCATATTTCACCTCGATACCTTTAAAAGTGTCCAAGCTTGGATTTTCTTCCGGTTCTTGTTTCATGAGGGATGGGCTCATTGCGCCAAAACGAGTTGGCCATTGCATGCTGGCGTCTGGGTCAAAATGTATCAAATTCTAAACATTACCTATAAACTACACAACCAAGATGCCACATCAACCATCACCCCCTACTGACAGGCTCTTGTCCACATGCAGGCCAGTGCAGGGCCACCACCTTGTGCCACACAGGGGCATCTGCTATTTGGGGATGCTCTTCGAGTGTTTGAGACAAGATACGATACAAAACTCCGAATTGCCAGAGGCGATTAAGCAACCACCATATAATTGGAATAATTAGAACCTTGTGAATGCTTGGGAGCTTATTGACTCTCGCTCATGGTTAGAGATCTACCCAACCCACAGGTCCACAAAGACTGGCCGCTCTTACCCTGCAGGTTGAACCTAGGAATTGAGTGTTCAACTTCATTGTTGTCATTAAAGGCCTGTGACAAAGGTGCATCTATTGGAGCGACATCGTCTCAAGCTTACACATCTAACGGGTCTCCAATTGACTTTGTATTGTCTCGGAGGAAGTCCACCCACACCTCCACTTCCACAAACTGCTGAGAATTGCCACGCTCTGCCTCGCAGTCAGAATTCTCCTCCTGCTTCACGTTTCCTCCATTAATGTGTCGGTCCGACTTTGGAGTTGAATCATCTTCACATTTTACCTTCACTTCTTTGCTCTTCACCATCACTTGTTCATATTTCACCTCGATACCTTTAAAAGTGTCCAAGCTTGGATTTTCTTCCGGTTCTTGTTTCATGAGGGATGGGCTCATTGCGCCACTTTGACTTCCACAAGCTGATTTCAGACTCCACTCCTTGTGGGTCTTCTGATGCTTGTGAGTTCTCTGGTGTCTTTGAAGATGTGGTGACTGTGCAAACGCCTTCCCACACACACTGCACTTGAAGGGTTTCTCTCCCATGTGTGTTCTCTGGTGTACATGAAGATTTGATGAAAGTGTAAACGCCGTCCCACACACACTGCACTTGAAGGGTTTCTCTCCTGTGTGTGTTCTCTGGTGTTTTTTAAGAGTAGATGAATGTGCAAACGCCTTCCCACACACACTGCACTTGAAGGGCTTCTCTCCCGTGTGTGTTCTCTGGTGTTTTACAAGATTTGGTGACTGTGAAAACGCCTTCCCACACACACTGCACTTGAAGGGCTTCTCTCCCGTGTGTGTTCTCTGGTGTTTTACAAGATTTGGTGACTGTGAAAACGCCTTCCCACACACACTGCACTTGAAGGGTTTCTCTCCCGTGTGTGTTCTCTGGTGTGTTACAAGAGCAGATGAATCTGTAAACGCCTTTCCACACACACTGCACTTGAAGGGTTTCTCTCCCGTGTGAGTTCTCCGGTGTGCTTGAAGATGTGGTGACTGTGCAAACGCCTTCGGACACACACTGCACTTGAAGGGTTTCTTTCCCGTATGTGTTCTCTGGTGTGTTACAAGAGCAGATGAATGTGCAAACGCCTTCCCACACACACTGCACTTGAAGGGTTTCTCTCCCGTGTGTGTTCTCTGGTGCCGTGTCAAATTTCCAGTACGATCCGTGCTGTATGCACGCCGGTCACATTGTTGTCTTTTTGCACCGAGCCGCGCCGAGTGCCTTTGCTCCATCAGACAAATACTGCAGAGGAAGCGACAGCTGCAGACAGAAAAAAAGAATATAAACACCATCTACACGTCAGTATCGATGCACAGAGGAATGCATACACACAGTAACACGTGACTAACAAGTCTATACTTCTTCATATATTCATGTTATAGTGAAAAAGTGTCCCAAATTCATCACACGGGCTGTTATGGCACACAATGAGAGGGCAAATGGTTATAAACGTGCCTGGAAGCCCTGGTATCTTCAAAATGAATGTTAACCCAAAACTCCGAGCACACAATTTCGGATGTCTGGCTTCAAAAGGAATATTTATGAAAGCTAAATTCAGCTGACATAGCAAAGAGTGTTGAAAATAATACTATTCGTGTTATGCCGAAATGCATAAATGAATGTTAAATCGCAACTTAGAGGTGTGAACCCAGGCACAGATGTCCTTGAATGCTGGGATGAACAGTTCCGACTTCAGCTGCACGTGTGCTGTGATAACTTCCTGACTCCATTCTTACGAAGAGTTGCAGAGAAAAAACTAAAATAAACTGTTTTGATATAAGACCCGTGCTCAATAGAGTTAATAGACTTTACTGCAAATACAAACTTGACACTGTCACACACTCAGAGGTGGAGCCAGGATTTTCAGTTAGGGGGGCAACCCCTTCAATCGGACTGTTGGGGGGGCACGTGGCACCCCACCCCCACTGGCTCCACCACTGTCACGCACTGGCATGGTTCACAGGTGGTGGTGTGTCCAGACTCATGCCTGGCTACGTCCACCTGCTCAGAATTAATAGTTCCTCATTCCATCAAGTAATTAATTGAGGATCAATCAACACAGGCGAGGCTGCGTGTCTCTCTCTCTCTCTATCTCCCCATGGTCGTGTGGATTTCCCTCCCGATCCCCGGGTTTCCCCTCCACATATAGAGAGTGAACACCGCCACACGCCCAGAGTGAACACCACCACGCTGTTGACGAGCCTCACCTTGTGTTGTGGGCAGGTCGCTTCTGAAAACAAAAGCGGTACAGCAGCTCAAGCGGGCTTGGCCTGGTAAAAAAGAATGAAATAAAAACTGCGTGAATATTTAAAAGTAAAACAAAGTGACAAAGAGGCGAGCCGTGTGAAGACAAATTAAACTTAAGCGAGAGAATTGAAGCAAACGCGATCAGGCGAGGGCAGGAGGCAAGGCCCCGCGTGCCTAGGCCCCGCGTGCCTAGGCCCCGCGTGCCTAGGCCCCGCGTGCCTAGGCCCCGCGTGCCTAGGCCCCGCGTGCCTAGGCCCCGCGTGCCTAGGCCCCGCGTGCCTAGGCCCCGCGTGCCTAGGCCCCGCGTGCCTAGGCCCTGCGCTGTAAAGTTCCAACCTGGACATCGCTTGCATGCTCGCTGCTACTCAATTGACATCCCTACGAGAGAGAGAGGGAGGCTCTACCTCGGTAAACAACAACCACCACCACAACCACCACCACCACCACAACCACCACAACAACCACCACCAGAACAACCACCACCACAGCCACCACCAAAACCACCACCACACCACAACCACCACAACAACTACCACAACCACCACCACAACCACCACCACCACCAGAACAACAACCACAACGACCACCACAACCACCACCACAAACACCACCACAAAAACCACGACAACCACCACCACAAACACCACCACAACAACCACCACCACAACAACGACCACAACCACCACCACCAAAACCACCACCACCAAAACCACAACAACCACCACCAAAACCACAACAACCACCACCACAACAATGACCACAACAACAACCACCACCACACCAACCACAACCACAACAACCACCACAAACACAACCACTGCAACAACCACCACAACAACCACAACCACCACCACAACAACAACCACCACAACCACCACTGCAACAACCACCATAACAACCACAACCACCACAACAACCACCATCACCACAACAACCACCACAACAACCACCACAACAACCACCACCACAACCACCACCACAACCACCACCACCACAATAACCACAACAACCACCACCAGAATCACCACCACAATAACCACCACCAGAACCACCACCACAACAACCACCACCACAACAACCACAACCACCACAACAACCACCACCACAACCACCACCACGAAAACCACAACAACCACCATAACAACTACCACCACCACGAAAACCACAACGACCACCACCACAACAACCACCACCACAATAACCACAATAACCACAACAACCACCACCACAACCACCACAAAAACCACCACAACAACCACCACAATAACCACAACAACCACCACCACAACAACCACCACCACAACCACCACCAAAACCACAACAACCACCACCACAACCACCACCACAACACCCACCACCACAACCACCACCAATAGAACCACCACAACCACCACCACCACCACAACAACCACCACAACAAGTAAAACAACTACCACCACAACAGCCACCACAACAACCACCACCACAACCACCACCACCAAAACCACCACCACAACCACCACCACAACAACAACCACAACCACCACCACAACAACCACCACAACAACCACCACAACAAGTAAAACAACTACCACCACAACAACCACCACAACAACCACCACCAAAACCACAACAACCACCACCACAACAACAACAACCGCCATTCGCCACTAAGTGGCGGTGACGTCACCACGACGCTTGTGCCAGGCTATGTGCACCCTGAGGCCACGTGAAGTGTCGAACGCCCGCTGGCAGGAGGTCACGGGGCAGACCCAGGTGCCACGGGTCGACTGACTGAGATGACTGGCTGATGCACCACCTGTGCCCCCTACTGTGCCAACCTGCTGTGCTTTAGCCACCCGGCGCTCCGCTCGCTGTTGTGAGCATCGCTCCTCCGCCCTCCGTTGTTGTTGGAGGGCGACTGCCTCCAACTGCCCAGTAGCATCCTTCACGAGCCTGCTCCACAGAGGCCGATCTTGACACCGCTGGTACCAGTCATCGGCAAGTCCACTCAGCTCCACGTCCTCCTGTACCACATCACTCCATCTCTTCTCTAGCCCGTGCCGCGCCCGCTTAGCCCCCTCAATCCGGCCAAACAAAAGCTGTTTCGGCATGCGGTGGCTGGGCATGCGGGCTACATGACCCAGCCATCGCAGCCTTGCCTGCCGGAGGAGCTCACCGATGGGACCCTGCCCAGATCTTTCAAGGATTTGTGAGCTCCTCACACAATCCAGTCTGGTTAAACCCAGGATGGATCGTAGGCAGGCCAGCCTAAATGTTTCTAACCGGCGAAGATGTTCCATTAGGGGGGTCCACGTTTCGCAAGCGTAGAGAAGGGAGGGAATGACCGTGGCCGAGAAGACCTGAAGCTTAGTGCGGAGCGACAGACCAGGTAGCTTCCACACAGCGTTACGCAACCGATGAAAAGATATTGCCGCTCGACTGATTCGGAGTGAGACCTCTGCTGTTAAACTGGAGCCAGTCATAAGCACACTGCCCAGGTATGGGAAACGCTCCACTCTCTCCACAACTGCCCCATCACCGATTGGGAGTTGTGGGGGTGGAGCGTCCGATGGTACAAAATACCCAGGCAGGTGCTTAGTTTTGGTGGGGCTGATGGTAAGGCCCCACCTCTTAGTGGCACGCTCCAGTCTCAGCAGCAGCGTCTCCAACTCCTCCTCTGACTGAGCAGCTATTACCAAATCATCAGCATACATAACGTGGTTGAGCAATAGGGAGCCATCCCTTGACCGCACCCGGGCATCGATTAGCCTCCCATTATATCTGTACCATATGGAGATTCCCCCGGTACAGCTATTGAAGGCTTCACGAACTACGTGGTCAAAATAGATGTTAAATAATGTGGGAGCCAGAGGACATCCCTGTCGCACCCCAAGGTGTACAGGGAATGGCTCTGACTCCCGGCCACGTAGTTTTACCCGGGCCCGCTCACCATCATGAAGGTCCTTAATGATCGTGAGCAGAGGGTCAGGTACTCCAAAAGCACGAAGAACGACCCAGAGCCCAGGCCTACTGATGGTATCATAGGCCTTGACCAGGTCAATAAAGCAGAGATGTAGGTCTTGTTGGAATTCCCTACACCTCTGCTGTAGCAGACGGACAGAAAATATGGCATCTGTGCAGGACCGCCCTTTCCTGAAACCGCATTGGGGCACCGCAAGCCTCTCCTCAGCGTGCCTGGCAAGGCGATGCTGAATAATCCTTGCCAGGACCTTTCCCACCACAACCACCACCACAACAACCACCACCACAACAACCACCACAACCACCACCAATAGAACAACCACCACAACCACCACCACTGCAACAACCACCACCACCACAACCACCACAACCACCACCACTGCAACAACCACCACAACAACCACCACAACAATCAAAACTACAACCAAAACAACAACCACCACCACAACCACCACCACAACAACAACCACAACAACAAATAAAACAAAGTGACAAAGTGGCGAGCCGAGTGAAGACAAATTAAACTTAAGCGAGAGAATTGAAGCAAACGCGGTCAGGCGAGGGCAGGAGGCAAGGCCCCGCGTGGCTAGGCCCCGCGCTGTAAAGTTCCAACCTGGACATCGCTTCCATACTCGCTGCTACTCAATTGACATCCCTACGAGAGAGAGAGCGAGGCTCTACCTCGGTAAACAACAACCACCACCACCACAACCACCACCACCACAACCACCACCAAAACCACAACAACCACCACCACCAAAACCACAACAACCACCACCACCAAAACCACAACAACCACTACCACAACCACCACCACCAAAACCACAACAACCACTACCACAACCACCACCAAAACCACAACAACCACCACCACAACCACCACCACCACAACCACCACAACCACCACAACAACAACCACAACAACAAGCAAAACAACAACAACCACAACAACAACCACTACCACCACAACCACCACAACAACCACCACAACAACCACCACCACAACCGCCACCACAACAACCACCACAACAACCACCACCACAACAACCACCACCACAACCACCACCACAACCACCACAAACACCACCACGACAACCACCACCACAACAACCACAACCACCACCAATAGAACAACCACCACAACCACCACCACTGCAACAACCACCACCACAACAACCATCACAATAACCACAACAACCACCACCACAACAACCACCACCACAACCACCACCAAAACCACAACAACCACCACCACAACCACCACCACAACCACCACCAATAGAACAACCACCACAACCACCACCACTGCAACAACCACCACAACTACAACCAAAACCACCACCACAACCACCACCACAACAACCACCACAACAACCACAACCACCACAACAACCACCACAACAACCACCACCACCACAACAACCACCACCACCACAACAACCACCACAACCACCACCAATAGAACAACCACCATAACCACCAGCACTGCAACAACCACCACAACAACAACCACCACCACCACAATAACCACCACCACAACAACCACCACAAGTAAAACAAAGTGACAAAGTGGCGAGCCGAGTGAAGACAAATTAAACTTAAGCGAGAGAATTGAAGCAAACGCGGTCAGGCGAGGGCAGGAGGCAAGGCCCCGCGTGGCTAGGCCCCGCGATGTAAAGTTCCAACCTGGACATCGCTTCCATACTCGCTGCTACTCAATTGACATCCCTACGAGAGAGAGCGAGGCTCTACCTCGGTAAACGACAACCACCACCACCACAACAACCACCACCACCAAAACCACAACAACCACCACCACCAAAACCACAACAACCACCACCAAAACCACAACAACCACTACCACAACCACCACCAAAACCACAACAACCACTACCACAACCACCACAAAAACCACAACAACCACCACCACCACAACCACCACCACAACCACAACCACCACAACCACCACCACAACAACAACCACAACAACAAGCAAAACAACAACCACAACAACAACCACTACCACCACAACCACCACCACAACCACCAC